TTCTATCATGGATTACAAAAAATTCGATCATGGATTACAAAAAATTCGATCATGGATTACAAAAAATTCTATCATGGATTACAAAAAATTCGATCATGGATTACATAAAATTCGATCATGGATTACATAATATTCGATCATGGATTACAAAAAAAAACAAAAACTTCAATCGTGGATTACAAAAAAAGAAAAAAACAATTCGATCATGGATTACAAAAAATTCAATCATGGATTACAAAAAACTCTATCATGGGTTACAAAAAAACAAAATACAAAAAACAAAAAACAAAAAATTCGATCATGGATTACAAAAAAAAAACAAACATTTCGATTATGGATTACATAAAAAAACAAACATTTCGATCATGGATTACAAAACATTCGATCATGGATTACAAAAAATTCTATCATGGACTTACAAAAAAAAAAAAAAAATTCGATCATAGATTACAAGAAAAAAAACAAACATTTCGATCATGGATTACAAAAAATTTTATCATGTTACAAAAAAAAAAAACAAAAAATTCGATCATAGATTACAAAAAAAAAAAAACAATTCGATCATGGATTACAAAAAAATCGATCAAGTATTGCAAAAAAATATATCATGGATTACAAAAAATAAAAAAAAATAAAAAAATAAAAAAAATTGTTCATCCGTACAGGACTCTCCAATTCACTGTACGGGGACTTACCGATTCCATACAGTGAATCGGCGAGTCACTGTGTACCGTCCATGGTAATTCTAGATCGGCGTTTTTTTAAACACTGATTTGATTGTTTAGGGCCACACACCTTATATTATTCCAAAACCTATTCCAAAACCTAGTGATTCAGATTTTGTCTGTCATCCGAGAGAGCCGTTACTAGCGTAGGGAGGCAAGGCCCATACTGTTCATTTGACAGGGAAAAACCCGTGCTTCACTTCTGTCTGAAACTACAGCAGCCCCTCTTGAACAAGAGAGAAACCGTGAAAACCCTAGGTAGAGAAAGACGCCCACAGCAGCACTCGCTCCATCGCCATTATCACAGAGCTTGAAGAGATTAAAGCCATGAATGAGTGAGTTTTTTTTTTTTTAACTTCTTCTTCCACGCCTCCAAGAGAGATAGATACATGTATGAGATGTCTAAGAGAGAGAGAAAGAGAGGTGGTATTCTTATTAAATATTGAAGAGCAACTATGATGGGCAGTACGAGAGAGACACGGTTTCGAAACCCATTTGTGTGCTCACGATCTATTTCCTCTGCTTGCTGCTTATTCAATGATTTATAGAAATATAGGTTTCACATTCAATGGCTAAAAGTGATTATGACCTCTTTGTATAAAAATAAAGTGATTATTACCTCTTTGTATAAAAATAAGTGGTCTCATGGTCCATAATCCCCATTTATTTAACATCTTTTCATAAAAGAGGGAGGGAGAAAAAGCTTAACAATTAATAAAATAAAGGTATACAATAAAACCTTTTACTTTTGGGACAAGGAGATTAACTTTCAATATGGAACGTTAAAAGTGGAATTGGGTGGTAGCTTTGTGTCATTGATTGGGCTCAAAGTTTAAAATACAATTTTTACGAATGTTGTGAGTCTTGTGACACATTTTAATTTATCACATTTTTAATCCAATGTTTAATAATAACTGTGACCTCCTTGTATCAAAAGTAAATAGTCTCATAATACATTAATAGATGATTTGGAAATCTATGGTTTTGATCGTCCATTTTGTATTCATATTACAAATGGAAAATTTTAAAGAAACGGGATATTTATTAAATAAGAGATAAACAATTTAGCATTTTACGTATATCGTCACCATTATCATCATCCAAGTCTTATTCCAATCTATTATTCTCTACCGGGGGCTACACGTTTCGTTAGACTAAAAGTCACCGTAGCATTTTAACTATATATTTTGATTTAATTTCAAAATATCAATAAAAAAACACATGGTCTTGAGTTGGATTAGTTACAAATGTCAAAATGTTGAGTAGCTCATCTCTTATGGGTATTTTGATAAATGTCCATAAAAATGTTGTCTTTTTTAAGCAAATATCATTATTTGATTAATAAAATTTTTAATAAATTGTTACTTCGTTTCAACCTGAGCTTGTCAGATCCAAATTTTACAAACAGATGCCCCAAACAAAAGATTCATAGTATTTAAGTTCTATCGACAAATTATCAAACAACATGATCTCTCCATCCAATATTTATATATGGAAAAGTGTTTTATTAGTCAGGGGAGATATAAAGTAGTGGTCCCTCCATAAAACTTTTTATCAATGGTCTAAAATTTTACTAAAAAAATTTTCGAGATAAATTATAACAAATATACTTTAATTTTTAGATGATAGAAAATAAATCTCAAAATTTCTAAAGCATCATTTATATCCTTTTTTTTAGGTGAGTAGACGAATATAACTTTCATTGGTAGTCTTAGAATTGTGAAGGCATCACGATCTATTGAAAACCGTGATGGTCATGGCAGGTTGTAAGTCAAATGTAGTTTTGAAGCATCCTGATACTTAAAGAATTGTGATGGTTTATTAGACTATCACGATTTTAATTTAACCGTTATACTCTTTCCTAAGTGACACAACTTTTTCAAATTCCTTGATGCCTTAACGACCATCACGATATTTTAAGTGTCGTGATGCCTCTTAACGACTATCACGACTGTTTAAAGGCCGTGGTGCCTCAAAACATTAGACAACCCATGCCATGATACATTCATGATTCTATGACTATTGTGAAGGTTATTTTTTGTTAAAAAAATATAAATAGTGAAGAAAAAAAAGTGTAGATGAGGTTTTAGAAAGTTTGGAGTTTCATTCCTATAATCAAAAAATGAAGGTATATATTTTTTTTTATAATTTCCTAATTATCAATATAGTTTTTAAAATTAATTATTTTTATATATTAATGATTTCAAATTATATACCCAAAAATAAGTCTGAGAACCATCTAAAAAATGGATAATGGAGAAAGGCCGCATATCTACATATGAATGCTAGGACTCATAAATATGTGTCCTTCATGTTATGGAAATTTTTCTTATAAAGGTGGGGCCCTAAACGATCACATTAAAGCTTACCAAAAAATTCACACAATAGGTTATTTTGTTGTCCACTTGTGTTCAAATTGATCATCTCGTCCTCAAAATGTATGGAGATGAGAAAAAATAAATTTCATGTTTTGATAATAGTGCATCTTGTATCACATTTTTTGGACCACCACTTTTCAAGACGTTCATAGATCTCCTTCATCTACATTATTTTTCAAGCATCACACTGTCTAATTAGAGATAAAATTAAAATTTCATGGCATCATAAATATTTTCATTACTAAACCTATTTCTTTCGACATTATTTGAAGGATCCTATACTTTGATTGTTTAGGGCCACACACCCTTATATTATTCCAAAACCTACTGATTCAGATTTTGTCTGTCATCCAAATGAGCCGTTACTAGGGTATGGCGGTAAGGCCCATACTGTTCATTTGACCGGATAAAACCCGTGCTTCACTGCTGTCTAAAACTACAGCAGCCCCTCTTGAACAAGAGAGAAACCGTGAAAACCCTAGGTGGAGAAAGACGCCCACAGCAGCACTCGCTCCGTCGCCATTATCACAGAGTTTGAAGAGATTGAAGCTATGAATGAGTGAGTTTTTTTTTTTTAACTTCTTCTTTCACGCCTCCAAGAGAAAGATAGATACATATATGAGATGTCTAAAAGAGAGATAAAGAGTGGTGGTATTCTCATTAAATATTGAAGAGCAACTATGATGGGCAGTAAGAGAGAGACACGGTTCCAAAACCCATTGTGTGCTCACAATCTATTTCCTCTGCTTGCTGCTTATTCAATGATTCATATAGAATGGTTTGTCCGTCCTCAAGAAGTTGCTAAAATTTGATCTCAGACTGATCAAAATAGCCCCCAATGGCTCCCTTGGTCTTCTGGATATTTTACCAGATGGGATTCTTTCGCTGTCTCACCATATGAAACCCATATTTCTACTGTGCATGAGATTTGGAAAGTGTAATTGAAATCTACCAAATGGTTCTCTTTGACATCGTTTTCTTTAAAAATAAAATTAGATTTGTTGTTACAAATAGATGATTCAGTTATTGTATACCCTGCTTTCCTTCTATCATTACTTGCGTCTTCTCATTATGCTCTCTTCAAAAATTTTTGTTTAGTGTTGATGGTACCTTTTATTTGTGCTTTTCCTTGGGTTTGCTGAGTGATCGAGATTTTTTATCTCGAAAACTTGTCTAGGAATTTATTGGAGGGATTAAAAGAAATTCAAATTTTTTGGTGTGATTGCAATTTCAATTGTTATTGGGTGTCTTCCACTTTTAAGTTACATAGATATCAGAACAAATTTCAATCGTGACCGTACATATTATAAAAAAAATGCATTAGATGCTTTCTTGCAAGAAAATTTCATTCAAGATATGCATTTTGCACATCAAATCAATTAAATATAGAATAAACGGGTAAGTGAGGTTGTTTCCAGCGTTCCCATTGCCAAACAAGTGAAATTATCGGCACCACAGTTATCCCGTTCAGATTACTGAAGCCCCAAATTGTTGCAATATCACACTCTTAGGAATTGGTTCATCGAACTTTTGAAATTTGTTTTTTTTTTTTTCTAGATTTTAAGTACCAGAGGTCGTAAGTTAGGGTTTGAAGCTTTAGGATCGTAGTTACTGAGGGTTTGGGGATTTAGGGTTTATAATTATATTCTTGTGCTACCAGAAAGGTCAAGCTTCATCAATATAGTGGATTCTAAAGAAGATGTTTTAATTGGAGAAAAAGGCAAAGAATGGCTGAAAATCCAGACATATTTGACCCAGAAAGCGATCTTCAATTGCATTTCAGGTAATTCTATGAAAAAACTGTTGCTTTGAATTTTTATGGATTGTACTACTAAGTGGATCTTCATTGGAGCTCAATTTGATTATTAAAGAGAAAATAAATGTTGCTTGCTTGATTCATAAGCTTCATGAATTAGGGTTAATGGCTATATTCTAATGTTTTTGCTGTAGTTTGGAAAATGGGGACAACTGCAATGCTTCTATTCTTCCAAAAAAGAAGAAGAAGAAAGCGAAGAAATGTGACGAGGTAGCTGAAATGGCTTGATAATTCTCACTAATTTGTACATTTGTTTTCATGAATTTGAAATTAACCTATTGAAACTGAGCTTGATACTACTTCACTATTTTTTGGGTCTGAAGCTGGATAAGAGCATGGCAAAGAGCACCCCACCATTAAGCAAGAGTCAGAAAAGGAAGCTAATGAAATTGCAGGTACATGCTACCTGTTATTATTTGGGTAATTCATGCTTTCACTTATGTTCTATGCGTTTTAGATTTTTGTTTGGATTTTTTGCAAATTAGTACTTCATTACAGAGGACCACTGCAAATGGTTGCACTGAATATTTTCTAATAGATTATGTTTGCTTTGGAATGAGTATTTTTTATTTAATTGTTTCCTGGTTTAGTTGTTGAATCAAGCCTTTGGTTTTCATACAGGAGGAGAAAGAGAAGAGGG